AGGGGGTGAGGCTCTGGGAAAGCAGAATGCGGGGGTAAATTCGCCTGGGAAATCAGGAAAAAGGCCGTGAAGGAGAGTGGCGCCTGCACATGACCAGCCGCAGCCAATGACGACCGCAAATAGGTCATAAAAAGGTCTATTACCAAGTTGTAAATTTTCTTCAAACAAAAAGGAATTTACTGCAATTCCTTGCGGATTTTGCACATCAGCTCACAAGCGCCATGTTTTTTCCCTCTCTTTCTCTCTCTCACGCTCCCTCTCTCTCTTCCTCCTCCCTCTCTCCCCCTCTCCTCCTTTCTCTTTTCTCTTGCTTGTCTCGTTCCTGCCCCTCTCTCGCACCTTTTCTAGGAATTATTTTTTTCTTTTGGTTTAGCTCAAAACCTGTACACAGTTGGGCTCTGTGTCGGTGGAAGAATGAGCGCGGTGTACGGACAAGGCGCTCAAGGAGGCGATCCCGGCAGCCCTCCCGCACCCCGCCTTACGCGGGTCACTCGGCTTCTCCTCCCCTCCCCTCACAAAAAGGCCCGCTGGGGAAGGGCGGCTCAGCACTTTCGGTTTTTGCCTCGCTCCGCTGGGGGCAAGCCAGCCCCAGTGATCCTGCGCAGAAAACCTGGGCTCTGCAGGCCTAGAAAGCTTGCTCCCCCAACCCCGCCCCAACATAAATTGGGAACCTCCCATTTCCTGGGGTTTCTGCTGTAGGAGAGTCATCAACTAGCTCAAAGCCCGGAAATGATTTTCGGGACTTGTCAACTTCTCCAGAATACCAGTCCGAGGGCCCACTGTCTGGCCTTTATCTCCTCAGAAATATCCTCCTGGACAGGCTGGGTTAGAGGAGAAGCAATCTTTCTGGATTCTCTTTGAATTCCTTCACTTTAAGTCCCTTCTAAGGACAATTCTCACCTTGATGGAATTTAATTCTAGTCCCCCTCTCCTTGCCCGCAAAATGTTGTCTACTGAAAAGCCAGCTCAATACAATACTGAAGAGGGGATCCATTTGCCACTCCCCAAAATCCGCCTAGAAAAAAAGAATTCTTTTTCCTCCAAGGCAGGAGTCACATTGCCATTGCATTTCTGATAGGAGCTGCTCCGGGTGAACCCCTGAAAGTGAATGCCCTTGGCTGGCCTCCTGTATTCCCTTCATCATTAATGCACGGACATGACCATCCAGGCTTCTGAACCCGCCTAAAAGAGGTAACTCCTCCCCTCCTCTCCCCGCCGCCCCCGCCCCCAATCCTTTCAAGGACACTGTCTTAGGACGTCTAGTAGTATGTTTATAAATCTTTGTGGTGAATGTTTGTGTGTAAATTCCCTGCTATTAACATCCTCACACCCAGTAAGTACCTAAGAAGACCTGGACTTAAGCAGGAAGCTGCAGGGCAACCTCCAGAGCAAGCCATTTGTATCCCTCAAAAAAATTCCGGTGACCTAGAATGTTTTTGATTAAAGGACTTCTGTTCTCATCCGTTAGCAAAAGTCATATCCTTTCTAGAAGAAGCCAGTGGGACCTAACTTGGCTGGGGGCACCCGCAGCAGCAGCCAGGATCCGTTAAAATGTTCTCCCTCTTCCCTTGCCTACCCGCAAATGCTCAAGGATTTGCCAAATACAGGGGAAACAGAGGACACACATTCAGATGTTAAATAACAACACCTTCTTCATTGACAAAACAAACAAACACTAATTTTAATTACACAAGCAAGTGGGGCAAGTTGTTGGGCCCTCCCCAAGCACAGGACACTTTACACTGATCTGTACATGTGGAACTGAGCAAAGAGATTGTTCGATTCTAAAATTTCCTGAGAAACAATCTCAATTGTCAGTTTCCCTGGTTATCCTCTCCTCCATCCACACAAATAAAAGCGGAGCTTTATGACCCTCCTTTTCAGCTTGGGGAAGAAGGGCTAGGGAGGGACTCTTTACCCAGAAAGTGCAGCCATATTTGCACTTACCCCTTCCTTCCCCATGTAGAAGTAAGCAATCGTTGCCCTGGGCTTTGTGGGACCTCACAAAATGGCAGTTCCTGAACTGATTTTTCTCTAGGAACCGTTGAGATCCACACCCTCCTTTGTGTGTTTCTGGCTCTTGCAAACAGAGAGCCTAAATCATTCGGAAGGCTTGGTTCTTTCATTCAATGCTAACATTGGAGGGGCCTGTTTTTCTCTAAATGGTTTACGGACTTTTGTAAGCGACTGCAGCAGTCTAGGGCAGAAAAGTGTCACCTGGGTTTGCAAAGGGCTCTCTGAAGGTTTATGCAAATTTCTGCAGCAGAAACGTTTGCTCGCTTGTTGCCGCAATGTTCGAAGTTTACAGATTTGCGCCAATGAGAAGGGTGTCTTGTGCGCCTGTCACTGCAGGTCTGTCTGCATGAAACACCATAATGGGGGTGGGGTGTCTAGCCATTGTAAGAAAGAAGATGGTGAATGTGTGTTCTCTTTATTTGGAGACAGATCTAGGCTCTTTCCCAGCTACAAAAGGGAACACATGTACATACCTATATTTATTACCGACACTTTGTGAATGTGTGTAATCTATGCATATGTATAAATTCATACTCCTGCACACACCATTATTGCAATAGAATCATTTTCTCTACATGAACTGGGATTTTACTAGTGGGCTAGGTGCCAGTGGGGCCAGAGGGTACAACACCTGCAGAGCAGCAGTGAATACTGAGGAAATAAGGACATTTTAACCTCCTCTTCCTTTCTTTTTTCACCGAGCCATCTACCAGATAGCTAACCTAGAAGAGTCTCCCCAAACTCAGCGCCTCTAAAAGTGACATTTGGGGAACATCCTTGAGGGGGAGACAGCCATAGTTTTGCTAATAGAAAGAGGAGTCCACTAAATCGAGGGCAGCTAGGGCTTGGCCAGCACTAGCCTGTGGACAGTTTGCTGTTGGCGACTGTTCCCCAGCCAGGCTCTCTGGCCTTAACATCGAAGCTCTGAACCTGTCAGCACCGAATTTCAGGGAGTGCACAAGGCAAAACTTTCCCAAATCCAGCATGCGAGTTTGCAGCTGTTTCCTCTTGTGCAACGGTTTTTTAACCCTCAGGCCGCCTGACTTAAAATTGCCTTTCCCAGCTCAGGTGGTCAAAAGGCATAGCCACAGACTCTTCTCCGGATGGAAAGCAAAGTGGTGCTTCGCCTTTGGACCAGCCAATGCCAACATCTCCCAGTCAGTGAAGCCACAGGCGAAGGGCCCGCCAGCACTGTAGGGGGCGACCCAGGCTGAAAGCTAAAGGATTCTATTTTCTTACCTGTCAATAACAGCCACTCTGGAAATCAAGACGTGCCTCTACAAATAAACACATTTATAAAAAGCAGTGAGCTCTTAAAAGTCTGCTTAATAAAGGTGTTTCTCTTTTGCGGGGAGAACTGTTAACTTGAATTTCTCCCCTTTTTTCCCTCCTGTCGTCCCCTCCCCTTCCCCCTTAAAATGGCAGCTGCAGGAGCAGCCTTGAGTGGAAAATGGATATCTTGTTAATAACGTCCCAAACCCCAGCATCAACGCGGGCTCGGCGGAGTAAGCTCTGGCGTAACCTGGACTCAGGGTCGTTCCCCACTGGGCCTACAATTCCAGTCCTTTGTGAAGTTCAAAGCTATCGTAGCAGAGTTATTTACAGCAAGAAGTAACGATAGCCAAACCTTCTCTGGAATGAGACTCCCCCCACCCTGGTGGCATTTAAAACAAAGAAAAGACGTGGGATGCGTGTAACCCCCACCCCTTTATTAAATAGAAATCTTGAGTGAGACTTTGCCTTCGTGTGAGCCCAAGCGATTGTTCATAATTTGGAAAAAGGGGTTTTTGCGGTACTCAAAGACACTCGCTCTAGAAAGAGATTCATTTCTTTATTAACGAGCTAGATATGTTCTGGAGCGGTTGTTTACACTCGAATTTTTCTGCGTTTGCTCTCAGGACTTGTTTCAAACGGGTGAAACCATCGCTTTTCTGGAGTACAGCAGAGGACGTACCAACCGACATCTGAGCTATACACAGCAAGTTGGCTCAAAATGGGCGTACGAACAGAGCGCAGGGAATACAAATAAATACGGCACTACTCAAAAACACAGAATCACAGCGGCCCCGGCATAAAGACCTAGAGATTTCAGACGATTACAAGCGCCCTTCAAAACGATAGTAGTAGAAGACAAATTGAGAAACAAGACGCGTTCCACAAGGCGACTTGCCAGGGTGAACAGTTAATGAGGGAAGATGTTACAATTGACTTTTCAAGTATTCATTCACTCTAGATTATTTAATTGCCATAATTTGTATGGACTATAATGATTAAATGTCAACTCTGACATTGTCCTGAAACTTTTGTCACTGGCCCAACACAGTTTCCTGAAGTTTAAGGAAGCTATAGAGCCAGGACTACCCATTACAGTCCTCAGTTAACCTGTGCTTTTCCCGAATATTTGGCCCAGACTTTTCCCCAGAGATATTACATTTACAAAATATTCAAATAAATCTTTTAAACAAAAGGCAACCAAGTCATTAATCATAAAAGCAAAAAGAAAAACAAACAGTAATATATTTTAATCAAATAATATAAAGTAAATATTCTGCAGGCATAATTTTTTAGAAAAATTAATAGAACTTCTTTTAATTTACTCACCACAAGGAAAATATTTAAAACGTTCAATTGCACTTGTTTGATTAATACAGGATCTTATATTCATTTAGTGCTAATCATTAGGAAGTTTACGTTGTTGAGGCAAATCACCAGCTCAGACATTAAAACTACCATTATAAAAATATAGCTACAAGGTCAGTATCAAATTACCCTTGCATACGACAGTTCAAGGGCTGCTTTCATGCGGTACTAGAAACTTTTTTTAACAGCCAAATCCCTCTCAAAGCACAGAAACCTGAAGAGCAGTGACATGAAGGTAGCTTGAAACACAGGTAAGGTCCTTTCCAACAAAGAAGAAAGGTGGTGTCCACGAGTATGTGTTGAACACTAGTTTTAATCCTCTGGTAGAAACGTAAAGGTGGAAGTTAATTTGTCGGGCCCTCAGCTCTGTCTTCCTCCAGTTCTTGAGCTTCCTTTTTGGTTTCCCCATCCTTTGCCTCCTGTCGGGAAACTGGGAATTTGTCCTTGTTGTTCTCCTTTTTCCACTTCATTCTCCTGTTCTGGAACCAGATTTTCACCTGTCGTTCAGTGAGGGCTAGGGCGTGGGAAACCTCGATTCTTCTCTTCCTGGTCAGATAAGGGTTAAAAAGGAATTCCTTTTCCAGCTCTAGGGTTTGGAAACGACTGTAGGTTTGTCTTCCTCTTCTTCTACCAGGAGCTGCTGCATAAAACAAACAAAACACGGGAAACAAACGTTTTAAAAATGTAATGGTGCCTCTGCAGGTTGCTGAAGATTTCTGGAACGGGTCTAAGGGGTGAAACATTCACAGTTCTCTTTAGGTCTGATATATATAGAGTGTGCACGCAGAAGGGGCAGAGAAGTCCTCACATTTATTCTGTCCTCATCATCTTTACATGGTTTCTACTTTTTAAAAAAAGCTGTATTACTTTATGAATAAGTAATGCATAATCTGAGGCTACCCAAGAAGGAAAAGGAGGGGAAGAGCGAGAGGAAAAGGGAGTTTAAAAGCTAGAACGTGAGATGAAAGCAGATTTCTCCCCCTCTCCCCGATTTTTTTTTTTTTTTTTTTTAAAAAAGCATCCCAACCTTGTGGTCTCATCCAGGGAAACATTTGAGAAGGAGACGAGCTCTGATTTAAGTGGTCTGGGTCCTCGCCAATATTACCACTGGACGATTTACAGTCAGGATATTGTACCAGCTCGGCCTCTTGCTGGGTCGTAAAAATCGGCTGTCTCTGTAAGTTATCGTATCCGTAAAACTTCGCGGGCTCCCGGTGACAGGCAATCCCGCCGCAGGGGGGAGGCGGCGGAGGTGGCGGAGGATGCGGAGGAGGGGGGCGGGCGGCCTGGTAGGCTGCGGCTGGACTGCCCCCGCCGGAGTGG